ACTGACAGAACGAAAGGTGTCCGTTCTCCCTGTACCCGACAAGGGCATTCCACTGGAGGTCCAGGCACCTCAGCTCCGGCCGCTGGCTGCAGTCTGGCCAGCAGCTGCGCAGCTCCTCAGGCTGCGGTGGCTCCCCAATTCCCCCCCAGCATCTCTGCTCTCCCTGCAGCGTGGTTGCTGCCCTGAGCCCTGCGTGCCCCAAGCCCAGGACGCGGGGACTGACACCTCCATTCCAAAGACTCCCCCTGGGTCCGCCGGTGTGGCTCAGTGGATTGAGTGTCATCCCAGCGACTGAGAGGTGCTGGTTCGATTCCTGGTCAGGGCACATGCCTGGGTTGTGGGTTCGATCCTCAGTAGGGGACGTGTAAGGCAGCCAATCGATGTTTCTCTCTCACTTTGATGTTTCTATCTCTCTCTCTCAAAAATCAATAAAAACATTAAAAGAAAATAAAAGAAAAATTCCTCGTGTTCCCTCAGCTGAGATGGAAGGGTCCTCCTGCCCTCTCGGTCCTGGGCCTGGGAAACATCACTTGGTCCCTTCTCCAGAGAGTATTGTTCTTACTCCCCCTTTCCCCAGGGTTGAGGCTTCTCTCCTCCTGCCTTGTACTTACTCTACTTCTACCTGTGCCACCCCATTCTTTCTTTCTCAGTCTCTTTTCCTTTGCCTGCTACCTGTTCCCCCCATCTTATCTAGAGCTACCCCACCTTTCTCTGGGGACCCTCTTTACACAGACACAAGATGTGCACTAATCTCTCCAGTCCAATAACCGAGTCTGCACAGCACCTGTGGCCAGCCGTCCATACTGGTTCTAGTGATCCAGGCTTCCTTTCCTGAGCCTTCCCCTTTGAGAATTAATCTTAGACTAAATCTTCAGTGTAGAGGATTACCGCCTACATTTATAGAATTGTTAGTTTTGACAAAAACCAGAACATTTGCCTTCTTCGTGCCTCCAGTCCAGGCAGTGGGTCAGGGGACCATCCGTGGGTTCTCTCCACATTCTGGGCTGTGCGTTCATCAGGCCGCAAGACTCAGACCCGTCCAGAGCGAGAGAAGCTGACATTCTCTGTACCTGCCTCAAGCTCCCTACCCCTCTTTACAGCTACAACATTTGTCCTGTCTGGGTCTGAGGACCATCCTCACTGACAGAGACCAAAGGAGAATGAGTGCTGAGGGCCGGCCCTGCTGATCCAGCCACACGACACCCGACACCCAGGTAGATAATTGGCGTGTAGGCCAACATAGATCAAGCACATTAGATACACTTGGGACTTTAGATCGCAAGGCATTTTCTAGTTCTTTCTGATTTAAAGAACTTTATTGAGGGACATCTTACCAATCTATCTCATACTATGTCAAAAAACAAATGCAATATTCAAAGACCAGAAAGCAGTAAAGATGAGATATTAACATAAATCTGGGAGTCACTGGGGTCTTAGCTATGTCCATGGCCCCATTCTTTGAACTTGGACAGGATAGCCCTCTAACATCCGTTCTTTATAATTGAGCTTCACGTTGAAAACATAGCTAAATGCAGATATAATAATTTATTTTATTCTAAAATCATGTACCTTAATAAATATGGTCATCTCCAAGACACTGCCATCAGGACATGGAGAGGTAAGGACTATCTCAGTGGGCGTGCCCTGGGATCGGTATAAAACACGGACAATTGGGGACTGACAGAGTCCCCAACACAGATGTTTTCTTATTGACTTTCACAAGAGGAACGTTCAGGTTCATCCAAGGCTGCCACTTGCAGAGGACCTAGAGGGAGGTGCAGGAATCTCAAATCCTGTGGGGTGTCAATAAAGCTATGATTGAGGAGCCAGAAGAAAAGGGCTCTTCCCACCATGACACCTGGGCTCAAATCGACCCCCCCCCCCTCTTTTTTATAATCTATGGGTGAAAAGTTCCATTATGGTTGAATTTCATTCTTCACTATTTATTGGTTCTTCAAATAATGGAAGAAAACAGTGGACTAGAATAAGAAATGAGCTGTGATTGCTGCAGCAGGTGGCGTTTCTGTGAGGGATGATCTCTGTTGCTGGGATGGAGGGGCCAGGAGGGAAGGGCCTGAGAGCAACTTCTAGGAGTTGAGAAGCATTCTTTGTTTGACGGCCAACAGGACAATGGGGACCTCTGTCCTATAACTACTAGGAGATAAATTATGCCAACAACCCGAGGGAACTTGGAAGATATTATTCCCTAGTTGAGGCTGTAGATGAGGACATGTCTAGCTGACATCTTGATTTCCGCCTTATGAGACCCTGAGCTGAGGACCCAGCTATAATGTGCCAGACTGCTGACCCCTGCACATGGTGAGATAATAAAATTGTGTTGTTGTAAGCTGCAAAGTTTGTGGTAACTTGTTACACAGCAATAGAAAACAAATACAACTGTGTTCTAGGATTTCCCCTAATGTTAATTGGGTTTTACTGGGGTTCAGTTATCATTACTCTGAGCCCACTAGAAGGATGAGGCAGCCTGAAAGTATGGCTCAGTGACAGCGGAAACCCAAGCTGGGATTTAACGGTGTGAAAAACCGAGAACAGCTTTAGCTGTCACTACTGGATGAGTGTGGTGATCATGTACATGGACGTCGAATCTGGACTTCTCCACCTTACTACCTATGGGACACTGGTTACGTTACTTAAGCACTTGTCTAAATTGGGATACAAATATTTTCCTTGTATACTTGGTATGCAGTTTTAGTGAGATGCAGTATTTAGCACAGTGCCCCATACATAGTAAATATTTAATAAATGGTCACTATTATTATTCCGATGAAAAAGTAAAGGCTGTGGGGATGTTAAAGGACCATGACAGCAAGAAGAAGAAAAAAGCAAGGCATGTACAGGGGAAAATGCATATATATATATATATATAGGCTTTTGCTATGGGTCACCAGCTATTGCAGGTACTCAGCAGCCAGATTTTATTCATGGGCAATCTTTCAAAGAGCCTGGAGATGGAGCAGGTGGCTTTTCTTTTTTTCTTTTTCTGCAGTGAAATAGATTGCATCCCCAGGTTATGTGTCCATCACCCAAAGCCTATTCAGATTCTGTTCTTGTTTTGAATTTAATGCTCTGCCTATCTCAGTGAACCCGAGGCCACTCCAAAGTGACGCTGAAACTACAGATGATCTGGAAGTGGCGGGCACAGAGGGAAAGGGAGGTAAGTCACAAGGCATCTTTCAAACCTGACGCTGTGGGCGGGCCTTCTGTTTGCCAGGCTGAGGCGATGAATGGCTCCATTTGGCCAAGCTTTGGGCGTCCTCACCGGCAGTGAGGGCATGTCTATCTACTCTCATGGGACTTTAGACATGAAAGGGAAAGAGAAGAAACAGATACTCGTTCCCTATTGATCCCCTCCCCCTACCTTTCCAACATTGGCAGGGGACACAACATGGGAACTTAAATCCATTAACATTTTATATTCATATATTTCTAGATACAATTTGGTTATAAAATGGAAGATGTTTGAATAAGATTTAGTGAAGTTTGTGTTGAATTCCCAAATAAAATGTGTACAGCGTGTGTGTGTGTGTGTGTTTAATTTCTGAAAACTCTCGAAGATGTCCGATTCTTCTTTTCTGGCCCCCAAAGACATTTGCTTTGTTTCAAGAGTATCTACACTCCAAGTGGTATCTGTACTGTGGGTTGGTATCTGCATGGATATTACATGCTAGTGTTTTCTAACATCAACAAACAGGAATAAAATGTAACTGAAATTTTCATCTCACACTGAATATTTATTACGTAGTGTCTGCCTTTAAAAAAACAAAGCACATTAAGAACTGAGTAGCCCTGAAGGACTAGTTTTATCTTATTCATTCTGTGTCTGCCCTATGGCCTTGTCTAGGGCCAGACACACAGTAGTGGCCAATAAGTATCTGTGGAAAAAATAAAATATTTCAGACTCTGCTCTCCAAGAAGCAGGCCGGCCTGGGGGAAGGAGAGCCGGGCCCATCCAAGGCTGCCATAGCCTGTGGCCTTGGCAAGGCCTCTTCCCCTCCGGACTGTAGTTTCCTTGCGCGAAAATAAGCTGGTTGGTCTGTTCTCTTTCAGCTCTGACATACGGGCTTTAACACAACAAGAAAAATTCCCTGAAGTAGGAAAACAATGCTTTTTTATAAATGTGCAAAAAAAAAAATTAAATAGTCACACAACAAATCAGGCCTTTGGAGTGTGTGTGTGTGCAGAGGGGGCTTCAGTCAGACTCCTGACATTTTTTGACAAAATTTGCCTCAGAGGTGCTAAAGAGCTATTGAAAGTGCTCCATTTAAAAATGTCTCTCTTTTCTTCTCCTTGAAAAGGTGTCTTTTATCTACTGACAATCATTTGAGAGAACATTACTTATAGGGATCGTGGATTTGTGGGAGTCTGTGTGTGTGTACGCAGGCAGGCCATTACAATTCCTATTTGTATTGTTTTAATTATCACCAAGGGAATCATCACCATCAAATTCCCGTGGCAACGATTCAGTCACAGAGCGTCACTTTTTATTTTTATTTTTTCATGTTTTATGTCTGAAAAGGAGGGATGTGGGAGAGTGGAAACAACTCTCATTTCCAGCTGCTTTTGTCCTCAGGTAGAAGGCATAACAGGCTCCAAGAGCACAGGAGGAATGTGAAGGGTAAGAGTAAAAGGAATCACTCTTTGAAAACGAATGGCAAGTGATAAAAATAAGTTACTAAAAGACGGAGCACCTTTTTGATATAAAGCCAGCTTTGAGTCCTACAGTGTTAGCTCTTGTTGGAACAGGCGCAGAGAAATAACAGCCTTGGCTATGTCGACCTTTAACCACCTACCCCAGAAAATCCTGCTGAAACCAATTACCAGTCATTTTATGGGTTTTTGCCACAGGCTCTGCCAAAGACACCATCTACTCAAGCCCACCCAGCACTGACCTATTGGTTTACTGACCCTTATAGGTTCTGATAGGATGCAGCTGCCTCATCAGTCAGCTTGCCCCTCCCCAGGCCCCCACTTAGACTTACAGTGAGTTGGCTCAGAAAGCTAATGGGTTAGCGGGACGGCAGCGCATCCTGAAAATGAGGTCACCCAAGCTGTCAGCCTTCCTGTCTCTTTCTCGTAATGAGCCGCTGGGAAATGCATCGAATGAGTCCCCCTTTAAGAAGACACAGACAAATATATCATTTATTTACCAGTGTGGCGTGTACCTGACCATGGAGAAAAGCTTTCAGAATGAAAAACTGTAAAACATGATGCTGTGAAACAGAACTGTAATTCTCATGTTATTTGGAATCAGGTCACTGGGAAAGGAGGCCAAGTTGCTTTTTGGACAAATGGCTTGAATGTAAAAGGGAGTCAGAACTGTGGATGTTCCAAGCTCCGATCTTTGCCCCACTTGATACATTGATTCTTTTAGAGTTTTCTGTGGGCTGAGGAAGATGAGAACGACTCCTTTGAGAAATTCTGCAGCAGAGAAGGGTGATGAAAAGCACTCTGGGGATGGAAACAGGAGACTAGGGTGACCTACTCTACTCATTACTAGCCCTGCCGCTGGGAGCTGGCTTCTTCACCTCTGTCTGCATCTTGGCATCCTTATCTGTAAAACAAAGGTGACACTCCCCTTCCTGTTCATCTCACAGTGTTTGTAAATTGAAGAACAAATACATGCAAAAGTCTTTGAACACTCTTCCCTACAATGCTGCAAAGTACAAGCCAAGCACTGAACGTCATCAGAACTGCAAAGTCATTTGTGTATGATCACATTTTTGTAGCGCTTAGTGAAAGAGTCTGAAAAAATAATATCCAGCCTCTAAGACCAGCACTCAGAGAGATTGAAGTGACATTTCCTTGCCTTATTCCAAACTTCCAGGAGAGGCTGAGGCACATGCTCTCCTGAGCCCCATATTGGGGCATTCACTGTGTTCAGTGCTGTCGAGGGGACATTCACAGCTTCTCCTTCGTAAGTCCACATTTTGGACACTGACTTTGGAGGTTAGCTGCCAAATGTTTTCTTTGACTCCAGCCAGTAAGTTCAAAGGGAAATACTCCAGGCTTTTTAGCATTTCTTTGGATTATAATAATTGTCCTTTACCTATAATCACCGGTCTCACAAAGCATAGTTTCACTTCCAAAACTATCCACATTTCTAAGGCCTAATTGGGAGTGTCACACAGTTGTGCATTTTTTTTTAAAAAAGGACATTTTTGGAGGGAGTAGTATGAAATATGATTATATTTTAACTCATTTTTGAGCCATGAAACATTTGCAGGATGCTTAGATCCCTGTGAACTAAATTAAAGTTTCCTGTGTGCCTAATTCAGACACTAAGTATACACATTCTCACTTGGAATGTTGGGTAAAATAAAAGTCCTAGTCATGCTTTGAGGACATTAAGACTTGGGTGACAGAAAATAAAATTCCAACTGTTTCAGAGGAAACCCGCCATCTTGAAAGATAATTCGTTTGAAACCAGAATTAAAGTTTTCCTCATTAACAATTAAAAACAAGTCTTATCTTATGAAAATAGAAAATAAGCATATATAATTCCAAAGCCACAAGCTTGAAAATAGATGCTAGGAACAAAACTTGCTTCTGTTTTATTACAGATTCCTAGGTTGGGGGTAATCCACATTTGTTTTATTGACACTTCAGGAACTTAATTGCTTGCTATAGTGGCTCTCCAAAGAATAATCAATTGGCCTTCTGTATTATTAAAATAGCTAATCTACATCCCAGCTCTGTCATCCTTTCTTGCCAATATGCTTAATAACATTTCTCCCGAAAGGAACATTTGCATACTCACAGTGTGTAAAGCACGGAAATTGGCATATAGAGCTATAGTTGAAGAAAAATATTACTTTGCCCCCTCCTTTGGAAGGGCTCCATTTGAGTGCAACGTGCATTATTCTCTAGAATTATCCCCCAATCACTCTCTGTGCCATCTGGAAAGTAGAAAGCTCTGCTTTCTAATATGTGCACTGATGAATGTAGGTTCTTGGAAATTATCACAGTCTCAGATAATTAAAGGGAGTCCTCTCTTGGTCCCTTTGCTCATCTAAAAAGCAGATCTTAGTTGTAATTTGCTGGGCCCAAGTGGCTCCCGACAGTCCCCACTACCTGGCCCTGATGTCATACCAAGAAGGTGACAAAGTACACCACCTGGGTGTAAAACGAGAAATCAGAGTTATGAGAGAATTCAGACCTTCTTTTAGGTCTTGTGCTAATGATTAGGCCACCTACACATTTAAGGAGGTAAAAGATCTAGGTTTAGAACCACAGAGCTGGAGGGAAGCGTAGAGATTATAAAGTCCCAACTCCTCATTTAAGGCCTCAAGAGGTGAGGTGGCTTGATCACAGAGAGGATATCTGATGTTGGCAGCTTTTTTTTTTCCCCCAGGTAATGATTAACATTTTCTCTCTGGAGAGTTTTACTGATAAGTTACCATAAAGGAGGGGAAAAGTTCTGTTTAAAAGTCATCCAACTGCCTGTATTGGATGTTGCTCAGTTGTTGAGCATTGACCCATGCACCAAGAGGTTGCTGGTTCGATTCCTGGTCAGGACACATGCCCAGATTGTGGGCCTGATCCCCAGTGGGGGGCGTGCAGGAGGAGGCCAATTGATGTTCTCTCTCATGGATGTTTCTATCTCTCTCTCCCTCTCCCTTCCTCTCTCTACAAAATCAATAATAAAGAAAAAATATTTTTAAAAAGTCATCCAACCAGCCAGCTAACCAACCAACCAACCAACCAATCAACCAACCAACCAGCCAGCCAACCAATTTGCCAGCTTGCCTGAAGCTCCTTGTTTGTGTATGTGGGAATGTACTATATATATCTCCATGGTCTCCTCTGTGCTTACAGGGATGGGGTGGGGGTGTCCAGAGGCAGGGGCCTATCCCTAAGAATTTGGGTATGTATCATCAGTGTTGTATAGGATATTGAATTTCCTGCCAAGTGCATTCATTATTCCTTGAGGATCAATGAATAATATGTAGGTATAGAGAACCAGCAGAATAACTTTTCAAATGATTTTGAGATCCAGCTTTGCAGCTTCTATTCATAGCTTTCATTCATAAACACATATCATTCCCAGCATTGCTATAAAATTTTGCATTTACATTTCAACTGGGTCTTATTTTGTAACTTATTCATTATACATAGGAACGTAGAGCTGGTAAGAGATTAGCACTTACGGTAACCGTAATAACTGAATAAAGTCCATGACAAGCACCAATCTACATATTCTGAAAGGTCAAAGTAAGAGCTGGTGTTCAAATGGCCTATTATGCCATCATCGCACTGTCACTGTTTTTCATTTTGGCACTTACTGGATTGTGTCCTGAAACAAAATGAAACAAATCATAATTTGTTTCTTCTAGATATATTCCTTTCCCCACTCCTTGTACCTCAAAAGATCACAAAATAACTTCTCTTAGAGAGTAGCTCTTTCAAGGTATGTTAGTGTCCCGTGGAAGCGTCATATGATAACAACCTCCTCTTTCTGTACCATCTTTCTCAAACAAACGTAACATTCTGTAAACTGGTGTAAATACTGGCACTTACTTCCCAAGTTCAGGTTCCTCTGAACTGGCACCAGCTTATTTGTTTTGTAGCCTTTATTTTCCTATCTCTCACAAGAAAGCTAAAAATAACTTTGAATAATAAAATATTGTTGAGGAGCCCAGACGGCAACTGCTTAATTACTAGTCTTAAAATTACACCCCCTACTGTGAATAAATTATGAATAAACAAATTACATATATACCCTGGCTTTCAAAAATAACCTTTAAAGAGTTGTTTTTCTGGAAAAGCTGTAATACTCTGACCATCTCCCAAAGATCCTGCCTGGTTAAGTAAAGCAACATATGTATTTAGTGTTTGAAGTTAGAAACTCTTGAAATAGAGGTTTTTTTTAATGCACTACATAAGCAAGGGCCAAAACCACCTTAGCAAAATCATTAGCAAAAACAACTGCCATAAACACTTTTTCGAGTACCATTGCTTAGGAACTTCCACTATTAAAGTGTTTTGACTGATACGTAATCATAAATAATTCATATACAATGGGAAGAAAACCCTAGGAAGAGGGAGGATGCTTTTCTCTCTTTCTCTCTGTGTAATTTTTTAAATAAAAATCACAGAAGCCTATATAGAGAGGGTAATTGAATATTATATATTTAATTATTAATTAATATATTATATATTAATATAATATTAATATAATTAATATTATATATATATTTTTTATCCTCACCTGAGGACATTTTTGCATTTATCTTCTGATAGAGTGGGAGGAAGAGAGGGGGGAGGAGAGAGGGAAACATCGATGAGAGAGAGACACATCGAGTGGTTGCCACCCACATAACCCCAACCAGGGCCAGGGACAAACTGCAACTGAGGTATCTGCCCTTAGTGGGAACCGAACCTGGGACTCTCCAGTCCGCAGGCCGATGCTGTAATCGCTGAGCCAAACTGGCCAGGGCTGCTAATCTGATATATTCTTGTTGTGGAGTGATTAATTTATGAAGAAATCAATAAATCCAAAATAGTCTATCTTGAACAGCTGTCTGAACAGATGGAAGAATATGAGAGAATGTGTACTCTGCTGGTGGCTAAGGGGCTGAAGAAAAGGGGAAATAACAGGGAAGAGAGACAAACACACCCTGGAAGGAATTTATACCTTGTTAATTCTAGTAGGAATTCTATGATTCTTTTATCACTATCCTCTGTTTTGCCCAAACACTTTAACCTTTCTTTCCTCTCTTTTTGAACTGGTGTATTTACTATGAAAAAGCTATTTGTTTACACTGTAACTGTAAAAGTATTACCACAACGTAAAGCTGTGTGAGACATAGTTATTTAAGACGTAGAAGGTCAGTTTTAAATGCTGATTGCTCCGTCCGCCTGCGATCCGGAGAGACCCGGGTTCGGTTCCCGCTAAGGGCATGTACCTCGGTTGCAGTTTGTCCCTGGCCCTGGTTGGTCGTGCGGGTGGCAGCCACTCGATGTGTCCCTTTCACATCGATGTTTCTCTCTCTCTCTCTTCCTCTCTCTCCCTCCCACTCTGTCTGTACAGAAAATGGAAAAATGTCCTTGGATGAGGATTAAAAAATAAATAAATAAATAAATAAAAATAAATGCTGATTGCTCCATTATCGGCACAGTTTCTTCGTCTTTATAGAGAAAATGTTGCTTCATGCTGTAGAGCTATCAATGCAGGGGGTGAGGTGATGACGATGATGTGCAATGTATACATTTCCAGCTTCACAGTGAATGAACTGTGATGCCCTGGAGAGTCTCGGGAGGCTTAGAGTCATCTGACTCAGACTGGTCCACAAGACTGCTGGGTGGGAGCAAGAGAAGTGAACAAGAAACCACACAGGTTCAAGAAGAATGACGGAAGATTCATTCACTTGTGAGGTTTGGATTTACCTAAACGGCTGGAAAATATTGACCACTACCTATTAGAAAATATAATAGTGAGTCCATTTTCTCCTACTTAGGATAGTAATCTGTCAGATGACACTATATTGTGATAAATGGGACTTCATAGGACTGGGCTCTTATGTCTGGCTTATTGTATATTTATTACACCTAAATCATTGGTGAAGTACTTCCATTCCTCAACTGAAACACTAAATATTTTGTATATTCTACATTCGAAATGGAAGGGCCCATAGGAGTCCTAAGAAAACAAATCCTGGATCATTTCCCAAAAGTGATAATAACAACATTATGTGATCATTATAGTCATCTGTAAGTATAAGTATGATAAATGCAATAGCTGCCTGAATGAACTTAGGACTGTTGAATTTTATTAATGAGGGAAATGGTTCACTGGAGCACTTGGGATAATGTAAGCTCTGCTTGGTTGTGACCTGTTAATTGATCAGGAAATCTAAGCAGAGTAAATCTAAATAATATCTTCCTACACCATAATTTAAAAACCACTTACTTGCTTCCATACTAAGTCCCTTATTATTGACTTCAATATATAACAGAATGTAGAATCATTTAAATGACTCTCCATTAGGTATCATTAGCATCATATAGGGTTCCAGGGTTCATCCAGACACATTATTCTCTGAAGACTCTCTTGATGCCATCCATAGCTGTTAGAGTGCATTTCCAAATGATAGTCAGCCTTTTTTGCAACTTCTGTTTGTGAATGTATCTATTCGTAGGAATGCACCAATATTCATTGCATTACTGTAGCAATTTTAACATAATATTTGGCCTGACTTTATTATAACTTGCATGTAATATTAAAACGTATAGAACATTATAACAGTAAAAATTATAGACATTATATTTAAGAATAATTACATTTAGTGAAAGGTATAAGTCAGGATTTTGTGTAATTTGGAAAGCCCAAGAAATTATGGCTTTCTTTTTTTTTCCCCCAGAGTCCGTCAGAAACCATATCAATTCCCAACCTGAACATTGGCACCTGCAGCGCTAACAAGTCTAGACAGCGACGGCGCTGAGAGCAGAGCCCACAGAGCACACGCTCGCAGACGGGAATGGGCAGGCTAAGTTCTCCTACTTGAGCAACTAGGTCCTTTCAGTTCTTCTGGGTCCAAAATGGGAAGTGGTCCTCAGTCTCATTTTAGGTTCCCCATTCAGTTTCTGTGTATTGAGGCACACAGATGAAAAGATGATGGAGTAGTCATTGTCTTAAAGCATCTCCCTTCTTATACTTCGGCTCTCCATCTCAAACAGGAGCAATGGCCCCAGCCCCAGCTCTGTCACTCACCTGCTGGTTGACTTAGGAGGAGATGTTCCACCTCACGGGCTCTCGCTACTTTCCTCTGAAAATGAGAAATGAACTGGGGCAGGGGCCACGGATCCAGAAATCGGAAAGTCTCATAGGGTCCCAACATTTTGTGACTTTAAGAATTTACAATTTATGGATTTTCCCAATTACAAAATATGGAAAACTCACTCTTTGATATAAAGAAACGGACTCCACTGTGGTTATTCTTCAATCTCCTAATTTCAGGGGCTGACATTGGGAAGAATGTCTCCGACACACGATCTCAATGCATTTGTAACTAGACTCCTCATTAGAGTCTCCTTGAATTTTCTATTTCCAAGAGAAACTAAGACAACTAAGGATTATGGACCCACCCGGTGAATACAACCACAGGGTACTCAACAACTAAACATATGTTAGTTTCTTGAGTGTTGATCATTGCATATAATTCCCAGTGCCAACTGTGGGAGTTACCTGCCACTGTCTCCATTTTATAGATAATGAAATGAGGCTCAAAAACATCAAGTAATTGAATTAGTGTGGTTGTTAGACTACTCAGGCAACGTTGCTCTATTTTACCAAAGCTGGTAATTTTTTTAAATGGGTACAGAAATCATTCTCCCACCTCAGCAGTTTCTAGCAATTATGAATAAAACGTAATTCTAAGACTGCAGAAAAATTAATCAACTAACAATTGAGATTTTGATCTGCCTGTCCTCATTACCGTTTAAAACATTAAAAACAAAACAAACATGAACAGTGATGACCTGTCTGGAATGGAGAAAGCAATATTGCCTTAGGAGAATTAAATGGCTTTGCTTTAAATAGGATGTTATGACTACATATTGCCTCTTTTTATTAAGCATTAAGTGCATAAGTGCTTTCATAGCTGTGAAAACAAGGAGGGTGAGCAGAAAGAAACCTTAATTAGATGCGTGTATCTCTTCGGTGTTGAGTTCTTTTGCCCTGGTCACGCCAGCTCCCAGCTCTGGGCTGGCCTCCACTCTCCTGTGCACGGGAAGAACTTCCTGCAGCATCTGACTCATAGGCTCTCTGCTGAGTGCGCTGTGTGTACCACCCACCTTACGATGTATGTGCTACTGTGATCCCTGTTGTACATATAGGGAAGCCAAGGCACAGAAGAACAATGCCAGTTGCCTAGTCACATAGGCAGTGAGAATTCAAGCCAAGCTTTGACCCAGCAGTCTGATTCCAGAGTTCAGATTCTTAATTCTTCACCACACTGTGCAGGCACTCATGTACCTCTGATGGTCCTTAAGGTTAAAAAAAAAAAAAAAAAAAGGCTTTAAACATGAGAGAGAACGGATGTCAAATCCACTCTGACACTAAAACTGTAAGGTTATTTAGAAATGTTCAGAGTGTTACAGAGTTTTCTAAGGCATGCATGCTCCTTGCTTCCGGTCACACTGTCTACAAATGACACTCTCGTGGTCAGGTGATACCTCTCAGAAACGGTCTCTTCAGACTTAAGCATTTGTTATTCTTCAACTTAAACCTCTAGGTTTGAATCCTAAAGAAGTTCTTTAAA